GGATGTTCCCAAAGTGCTGTATCAAAGCACATCAATAGAAGGTTAAGTAGAAGGGAAAAGTCTGGTAGAAAAAGGTGCACAAGCAGCAGGGATGACCGCAGCCTGGAGGGGATTATCAGGAAAAGGCCATTCAAAAGTGTTGGGGGCTTTCACAAGGAGTGGACTGAGACTGGAGTTAGTGCATCAAGAGCCACCACACACAGACGGATCTCGTCTGCGGAAGGAAGCATGAAGTGCTCCAAAATCTCTTGGTAGACAGCTGCGTTGACCCTGAACTTAATGAAGCACAGTGGGCCAACACCAGCAGATGACATGGCTCCCCAAATCAACACAGACTGTGGAAACTTCACACTGGACTTCAAGCATTACGCCATAATCATCACAATTATACCAAAGTAAGGCTTGATATATCTCGCTTTCCATGTAATGCGTCTATCTCATATATTGGTTTCACCTTTTGAGTTGCCTTACGCCATAATCATCACAATTATACCAAAGTAAGGCTTGATATATCTCGCTTTCCATGTAATGCGTCTATCTCATATATTGGTTTCACCTTTTGAGTTGCCTTACGCCATAATCATCACAATTATACCAAAGTAAGGCTTGATATATCTCGCTTTCCATGTAATGCGTCTATCTCATATATTGGTTTCACCTTTTGAGTTGCCTTACGCCATAATCATCACAATTATACCAAAGTAAGGCTTGATATATCTCGCTTTCCATGTAATGCGTCTATCTCATATATTGGTTTCACCTTTTGAGTTGCCTTACTGACATAAATGAACATTTGCACGATATTCTAATTTTTCGAGTTTCACCTGTATAATACAATATAAGTTACATACAAATTTGACTTAAGGACAGACCTTGGGAACAGAACTTGTTCTTAAACTGGGGACTACCTGTATTACATGGAGCAAGGTGTATCCTTGTCTGGTATTTTGAATTGTTTGAACCCCATTAGCTAATAAAACATTAGTTCCTTCTCTTTTGGAGGAATCTATAGAGGCCTATAAGAACTGCCAAGTCAAATACAGGCTGATGACACTGAATTGAGTTTTATGTAATTGCTGCTATCTGTCAGTGGTTTCAATCTATCAAATAGATACCATAGCTCACTGGTAGACCATAATGTCTACCAAAACGGGCAAGGCAGGCTATTGCATATAAACAGGCAACAAACCCCACACTCGCTTGCACTGATGATTTTACCTAGTTGGGTAATGAAATGTCTGCAAGCAAACAATCAAGCTCAGAGAGCACCAAGAACACAGTTAAATCCTAAGCTACAGATATTCTCTTCTATTGAGACCATATTGAGCTTGGTGAGCCGCAATACAGCTCACCTCCACTAAAGGTCCTCTCCACTAAATGCTATCTAAATGCTCCACGACAGCTCCTCTCCACTAAATGCTATCGATATGTAGACAGTAGATTCTTTATATTAAAACATGTACATGCTTTGTGTATAACCAGAAGATGGCACTGGTTTGTAAAATTGAATATCATTCACATGCAGCTGTTTCTGCTCCAGTCCTGACCTTACCTGCCGCACCTGCAATCCTCCAGTTCTTGTATAACCTGCCTCGATCTATAAATCCGCTCGCTTTTCAGCAGTGCTCCAGGCACAATACAATGCAACATATAGAATGTGGGAGGTCCTTGCTGACCCTGCCTTCTGTCCTCTAGGGAACATCAACCTGATCCCTATGTTCCTCTCAGCACTTGAGTGCCTAAGCAGCCTGTTGTCATGGCAAGGCTAATAGTTGAGTTTCAGTGACTGAAGTCACTAGAAAAGTGGCTTGTCTCAGGCTTTCCTTGTGATGTGTTGGCCTACTATACCCTGAAATCTTTATGCAAGTATGTCTTTAATCAGTTTTAATTGAGTATAATGCAGGGAGAGAGAATGGCCTAAATCTGACGTGTACAAAAGTAACTTGGGAGTAATAATGGATTGATTTGTAAAGAGAAATGTCAAATGATATCAAGGTTTTATCTCCACTCTTCCAGTGTGCTAGAGTCAGCTCCCTGTTGTGTAAGCAAATACATGAGCAGACAATGCAGGATCTATCTGACATCTAGTCATTACAATAGAAATGCTAGTCTGGGGCACTGATCCATTGTTCTAGGAACAAATAAAAGCAGCATCTGGTTAGGGAGGGCCTTTTTAAACTACTGAATGGGAGATTCAACCTGCTGTTTCCTAAGCAGCCAATACAGCAGAGTGTGTCTGCATCTTCAGATAAAGGGGAAGTCTTCTACTGTATCTTGAAGGCTCTTAAGAGAAAGCAGAATTACACACTGTAGACCAGGCTGGAACCATATGTAAGTTCCTATATGTATTGAGTTTGATGTCCATTTTTTTCACTAGTATACAAGAGATAATTCTCTTGTTATGGCATTACATGAATGGAATGTATGCTCTTTTCACTTGTATTTCTGCAAGCAGGTCATCTGAGATCAACAGAATTGTTCACTGGTTTTCAACTTTGTTAATTAATTGCAGTCCTACTTCAAGTAATATCTCTGTTGTGATGGTGGTCAAGCTTCTTTCAAGAAGTTAAGGACCTTGACTAGGCAGGGTTTTGCAAAATATGTTTACAAGCATTTTGAATACTGTAAAAGTTTGAAAAAGACTTGTCAACAAGTAAAGCAATAGAGAAGGTAGTTTCCATAATTTATTCTTATCAGCTTCATAGTACATGCAAACAAACTAAGAAAGAATGATTGATGAAATAAGGATTGGAAAAAACAAGGAACAACTTTTGCCCTTACCTCAACTTTGTGCTCATGTTTTATTACATCATTCTGCTTCAAAACGTTTATGGACTCTGCACATGTGAAGAAAGTAAGTGCTACACACACACTTGTGCATCTCCTCAAATTCCCCAACACCAAAATTCCTCCTGTCTTTGGGGTGGGGATGAGATACATGACGTGAATCAAGGAGCTAAATGAAATTTGTTTCCATCATTCATTCCAATTTGTTTGGCTCAGTTCAAAAACAAGTCCTTTGTCATCTAACCACCATCTATGTATTTTTGGAGTTCTGAAGTTTCTGAAGGAAGATGCATAGAATTGCATCTGATTTTAGAAATCTTGCTTTAGCTTGGGAGACAAGATGGTCTTACAGCTCAAAATAGACTTTCCCTGTCTACCAATCTACATATGTAAAAGGTTGGGGTTGGTAAAATACTGCAATCTCCAATCTCATTCTCGCCATTTTCACTCCAACATTTGCTTGCTACCCACATGATTATTCAAGTCAAAAAGCCAGGTCCTAACACCTTTGGATTCTGGAAAATGGAAATTTAGGGTCCCCTATGTTACCCATGATTGCAGTATAAGAAAATAAAGTTTGATGCTACTTCTCTATTTTACTTCTACCATTCAAAGGGTTCTGGCCTTTCTGGGAGCACCAGATTACATTAAAGAAATTGGAATGGTGGAATAGAAGAAATGGCATACAATTTTACCTTCCCCTAGTTCCTCTCTAAAGGCCATGCCAGCAGGGGATTTTGAAAGTTTTAGGCTGTCAGTGAAGGCTACTCTATTGCCCTT